AAAGTATGGTCCCTAAAAGTATGAAGATTTTTTTTTAGGGGAAAGGCAATGAACACATATTTTCAGTTTCACAAGAAATGGTTGGTAGCATTATCAACCAATTTGCATTGTGCCAAACTTGTTCATTCAGCTTAATACTGGATTCACTCTTCAGCTCACACCCACCCGACTCATACTGGTCCCATCCAGCACCTCACTACCAGGAATATTGGTTAAACAAATTTAGCTGGTTGCAGAGTGCTTAAAAAATTTACTTGGTGCCAGCCAGGCTTGGTGCCAAATCCAACCAAGAAATAACAGCAAGTTGGGTTGAGTGGGGCTATAGGTAGGGGTTTTGAGAAGAGAGAAGGGGTAGTAAATCCTACCCACTATCCTCTTTGTGCAAAAGCCATCAATCAAATTAACAAGCAGTCTGTCAATTTCTATGGCAACTGAACAAACTCCTAGTAATGTAACAAAGGGAAGAGAGAGTGAAAGAGTAAAGTGTAAATTAAATAAAAAGTGGAATAGAAAGAAAAAAAAATAGAGACTTCATAAGGAAATGGTTTTAAAAAATGTGAGAAGAAAGAAAATACATGTTTGACAATAAAGTTTTTCTCCTGACCCCTTAAATCCAGAGATAAGCAATAAACACTGGATCAGAGAATACAGTATTGCTGCCCTTCATTTCAGATTTACATTTTCATGCAGTGTATATCAAGAAGCAAGCATCTTATTTAATCAGATGAATGCAGGCTTTCCTTTTTGCTATAAGAAAAGATAAAGACTCCAGAGAAACAAAAAAAAAAAAAAATCAGCCAATAAATCTTAAAGTTCTGTGAAGCTGTTCTTTAGTTTTAAGTAGACGCATTTACTAATAAATCCAATTATAACCCCAACTTTTGCTTTAGAATAGTAAAATAGTTGCTACTTGGCTCACACTATGAATGCAGAAAAAAATTGTAACTATGGTGTACAGTGAATAGTCAAGTAAAAACCAACATGTGATTCAAAGAACATCCAAATGCTTGTGAATTTGGAAAAGACAAGGATGAAATACCAAGTACAAGGTAGACTACTTAACGTCTACATGAGTTAGAAATAGACTTTTACAGTATCAAACATAGTACTGGTAAGTGTGTGTGTGTGTGGAGCGGGGGTAATTACCTTTCTGTTATATGCAAACTAACTGTGAAATTGCAAAATTAAGGAAGCCAAAGTAATGTTGAAATTGCAATCAGAAAAACACTATAGCAACCCCATTTTTGAAAACAAGCATATAGAGCTGTAGGTAAGAACAAATATAGTATTTTGGATCATTATTGTTCACTGATACATCATTTCTTGTCTGAAATATTTGGACAAAAATTATCTTTGGATGATGTCAAAGATACAAAGTGGAACACCTTAAAAGAAGCCCACTAGTGACAACAAAATATATCACCATGAGAATGAAAGACGAGAGAAAGTAGATGACGAATGAAATTCTCAACTTAATGAAGCAGTGATAGCAGATAATGCCAACAAATGATGTAGAATGTATGAATCTAAACAAAACCATCAGAGGTAAATGCAAGTAAGCAAAGAAAAACATGGATGAATAGGAAATCCACATAGATGCATCAGGCATATAAAATAAGATCAAGACAATAACAGGATATCTTCAGATTCACATCGACGAAGTGCTGTGGCCATTTCAAACGGTTATTTTCAGAGGCCAACGCTTCTGTCTTACGCGACTACACTGCTATTGCTGCAAAGAGTTAGGCCATGTAGCACAGGATTGCTCGGGAAACGAGTCTGGGGACAAGGTGCTGTCGCAACCCTTGCCCCCTCTTGGTCAGTAAATGCGGCATTGCCTGTTGTCAACGTGTGCGTTGAGGGTAAACGATGACACTGGATGTTCCCGATCGATCATTAGTGTGGATCAATGCGTGACACGGAACAGGTCGCGGCAGCCTGTGACACCGCGGGAGGGCCCAAAGTGCTACAAGTGTGGTGGACCCAACCATTTCTCTAGGGACTGTATCAGTCCTCACAGACGGAGGGAATCATACCATGGTCACGTTTGGTGGCACGCCAGCCCCTCGGGTAACACCTGCTGCTTGGGATTGATGCAATCGGCGTTAGGAGGCATGATAATCACGCCAGCGGAAATGTGGAACTGGGTAAAGGAGGAATCTAGCTCTCCAGTGGGAGGCGCATAACATTGTACTTGGTTATTGATTCGGCATGTGTGTACCGTGGATTTCAGACACCTTGACCGAAGGCGGGTGAACACAAAGGGCGCCCTATCTGACGCCTTTCTGTAGACCCCTTCATCGCTGGAAACAGTTCGTCGGGATGGTGGCTTGCGGCCGGTGAGACCGTGGATGTCTACCTAGCTGATTTGCGAGGCTGGCAGTACCGTTTGGTGGAGCAACGAACTGCATGCTGGGGTGCGCCTTCCTGGCAGGACTTCCCGGCGACACCAGTTGGCTCTCGAGCATCTTCAAGATTGGACACACTGAAAAAATTGACAAATTGGTAGCCACGGCCAGAGAAAACATCTTGAAAAAAAACCGTGAGGAGGGGGTGACAAAAACGCCCGGTGTCACACGCCCAACCTTCTCTCACAAGCTGAAAGCTCTCTGATCTAAAACAGCAAACGCAGGCCTGCCTTTATACAGCCGAGGACCGACCACGATTTGCATGCGAATGGCGACGCGACAAGATTTGCGTTAACTAACTGAGACCGCTTCGGCATAAAATATGGGTGCCGCCATTTTGGTTCCTTTACTGTTGGGAGAACCGAGTTTGTACACTGCACAGATCGCGCATGGCGTTTCGAGGTAAGCCATTTTCACAATTTTCCCCACCTCCCCACTGATCTCATGATTACAAACAGGCAAGGAGGTGGCGATTATCGCTGTCGCGAGTCCCCCTCCGAAGGGGACAACACAAGCTTCATCCTCATGCGTGTTCTCGCTCTGTGGTTTGAGTGTCGGTAAACATTGTGTCTGCCCGGGAGGCTGCTGTTATCAGAATCACTGCCCTGCAGTGGTCTAACTCAAGGCAGATCGAATGCCACTACTCTCAGACTGAATCGCCATTGCTCAATGCGGTAGTGATTGCATCACCGGTGCAGAAAGTCTTTAATGTGACGTAGGCACCCATCAACTCTCACAGATTGCGGGCTGATCACCTCCATAACAAATCCAGTGCCTGATTTTTGTCGTACACTTGCCGTGTGAGTTTTTGACAAACAACGTCTCCTTTTTCAATCTCCTCCAGTCACTTCTAGTTCAGGCATGGGTTGGCCGATGCCTTTCACCACGGACATGATATTTGCCAAGTGCATCGGCCAAGCGCCGTGGATGGTGAAACGATTATCTTCGGGCGACATTATACCAGTAAACCGCCTCCGATACTGTACAGCCCTTCCTGGCTACGATGGTCTTGATGGTTCTGTGGTTCCACTCCACGATGTCGTTTCCACTTATGAGTAGGCACGAAAACCGCAGATGCACGCTCCCAATTGTCCGCAAATTCTTTAAAGTCTTTACTGGTGATTGCAGTATCGTTGTCCGTCAGTATTTCCATGGGTGGGCTCGCTTCCAGGAAAACATTCTCCAACAGTCGAATGACGGGTGTCGCCTTGTCTGCTTAGTGGCTGCCATACCCAAAACCTGGAGAGACCGCAGAATCCATAAGTGTTAAAAAAATTCTCACCATTGTAGTGAGTTATGTCCATCCAGTCTGCTCCAGTTGCTCTTCACGCCAGTTCTCCTCTTTCCCAGTGGCGGGTGCCGGATCGATTGACTGGACAGGTTGTGCAGGCCTTCACAACGGATTTAACGCTTTCTCTAGGACACCCGCGGAATTGACTAACCTGGCGAGAAGTACAGAGCTCGTTTCAGGCCTGGATGTCCGCATTGACGATGGGTATTGGCAACCTGGTCCTCGTCCAGTCGTCTCCCTACCACTGCACAGCTCTCGATTCTCCTCTTTTGAGCAGTTCTAGCCACCTGTGCAGTACTCTGGTGAGGCGATCCGCACTGTTCTGACAGGACTGTATGAGTGTCACGTCTATGGTCAATCCATATTCTTCCACCGGCGATCGCAAAATGCCTAGCTGTCGCCTAACCAGCATCTCACCAGCCGCCCTTGATCTCTTCTAGGTTAGCATCGTTCCAGAGTTGTTGATATACGGTGTAGGCTCCCCCCGTGAGTCTCAGTGGGATGACCAGTGCAGGTTCCTTTATTTTGGACACCCTGCAAACATGTTTGGCCTTTTCAAACCATTCGACGACAGTCAGGCCCGATGGGGAGCCGTTGAATTCTGGGATCAATTTTAGATCGAACTTGTCCATTGCCGAAATAGCTTGTTGGAGGTAACGCAACAACTCAACTGATGATAGCAGGTAGGAACAAAGAAACCGTGAGGAGGGGTGACCAAAAACCCCGGTGTCGCACGTCAACCTTCTACACGCAGCTGAAAGCTCTGATCTGAAACAGCAAACGAGGCCTGCTTTATACAGCCGAGGACCGACCACGATTTGCATGCGAATGATGGACGACGGCAGATTTAAGGTTAACTAATCGAGACCGCCCTGCATAAAAATATGGGCGCCCGCCATTTTGGTTCCTTTTTACCGTTGGGAGAACCGGAGTTTGTACACTGCACAGATTCGCACGCGTTTCCGAGGTAAGCCATTTTCACAATTTTACCCAGACATAGAAAGCATATTCTTTACTAGCATGTATGATTTCCAAAGAAGTAATGATTGTTATAGAATATTGATTCACTTTCTACGGTTTATCAACCCTTTGCAAGGTACTGAAAGCCAGAAAATATTTTTCTGATACAAATCTTAATAATTAACCCAAGCCGGGGTTGGGGGGAACAAGAGGTGGATTCATATCTTTCCCAAGGCTATTTGTGTGTAAGTGAATATGACAGCCCCAAGGGAAATAAGAACTCAGTTCTTATATTATCAATTCGAAAACCATTATCCTTTACACCACCTGCACATCCAAGTTTACAGTACCTGGTATTCCCAAGTAGTCACCCATCTAGGTACTGACCAGGCTCTACATTGCTTAACTTTGGTGATTGTAAGGGAACCAGTGTTTCAAGTGATATGGCTGTAAGCCCAAGAAAGAAAAGGTAATGCAATGGTTGAATAAATGCATAATAAAATTCTTCCATGGCATCAAAAGAGTTCAATTTCTTTAATGAAATTTATGATGTTACTTGGACTAGTATTTTCAAATAGATTCTTAAAGCCACCCAATGTGTAGAGTTTATTTCGGATGTACTGGAAGTTGTAGCAATTTAGTACAATGTGTTTAATGGTATATGGTTCCTGGCAAGTTTCCTCTTTTTTTTTTTAGATATTGGTGAGTTATATATGTGTATCCCATATGGAGCCTTGGTAGTATCACCTCCTCTCTGCTTATCTTTCTATAACTTGACTGTCTTTCACTGATGAATGGTTGGATGTTGAGTAGTTTATTGTTGAGACAGTTGTTCCATAATTGCTGCCATTTTTCTTTAATGATCCTATTTATGGTGGATCAGAAGTTGTGTGTGGCATCTTCACATTTGAGAGGGCCATGTTTCATGATTCCTTTGCCATTTTGTGAGCTTTTCCATTTCCTTGTATGCCAATATGGCTCGGTATCCAGCATAGGACTATTTATGGCATTTTTTTCCTTATAAATAGTGTCAATCCTATTTAGTTATTTATTAAGGGATTTCTCATGCTTTTATTCTTCAGGGCTGATAGTATGGATAGTGAACCTAAGATGATGATGAATCTTTTTGACCCACTAAATTCTATAATATCTAAAGCCAAGTGCATGGCTTAGGCTTCTGCACTGAAGATTGAGGCTTTGTCTGCATTGTTATGTTGTTAAGGATAGCAGAGCATCCAACGCTGACCAAGGTTTTAGAGCCATCAGTGTATATATGTTTATAATTTGGGTGAGCTTGTAGAACATTATGGATAAGTTACAATTAATTTTAGGGTATTTAGTAAGGTTTAGCAGAATCATAGGGTGTTTCATTAACCAAGGTGGGTTTTTTGAGTTGGCAGTTTTAAGAATTAGTTTTGGATTTATTTGTTTTGAGGATGAGATTTTTCATGTAAAGGCCAAAAGGTTTGATAGCATTTTCTTTTTTTATCAAATAGATTTTTGTATTTAGGGTTGAAGGTACAATGGTAGGCAGGGCTAGTTAGGATTTGAGTTTTAGATAATATTGTATTGCCAGTTTTTCTTGTCTTAATTTTGACAGTGCCTCATGAGCTTCAGTTCAGGAACTTTCTACGGTTGACATTTTGAAGGCACCCAGAACCAGTCTTAATCTTGCATGGTGAATGGGGTCAAGGGTTTTTAGGTAGGATTTTTGGGTTTTTAGTTTTTAGTAGAGTTCTATAGCATTACACGATCTGCTCCTTAGTCAGTGTTAGCCACAACCCATTGTAATTGTAATGCTTTGAAGCATTTCTGTTTTATGTATTTTAACTGGGGGGTGGGGAATGAAAGTAAGTTTTTTTGTTTTTTTTATCAAAAATGATTCCCAGAAATTTATGTTGGTCACTCATTTCAATTTCTGTCCCTTCAAATCTAAGAATTGGATCATTGTGCATTTTTTCAGATTGCAGAAATGGATACATTTTGTTTTGATTCGGTAGAATTGGAGTTTTCCATAGTCCATTGGTTTAATTTATTTATGCACACTTGCAGTTGTTGTTGTTCTGTAGTGTGCATATTTTTGGATCTGTAGCAGATCAAAAGGTTGTCTATGTATAATGAACCATCGACTCCTTGATTCAAGCAATTAACAATGTTGTTAATTTTTATGTTAAAAAGACAACCTTGTGGAACTCGTTCTTCTCGGATTTTCGCGTCCAAGAATGTTTATCCTACCCAAACTTTGAAACTACTGACAAAATGTTATTTATCAAATTGGGTAATCTGCCCTTTAATCCAAGATTGTATAGGTCTTTCATTATTCCATGTCTCCATGTTGTCTCATAGGCCTTTTCTAGATCTGAAGAAAATGACTACTGCATGTTCTTTTTTTAATAAAAGCCTCTCTAATGAAAGTTTCTAGGCAGACTATGTTGTCTATGATGCATCTTTTATTTTGGAAGGCTTTGTTTCTTTTTATGTTTTGTTCTTGTGGGGAAAATTGTGAAAATGGCTTACCTCGGAAACGCGTTCGAATCTGCGCAGTATGCAAACTCTGGTCCTTCCAACGGTAAAAGAAAAACCAAAATGGCGGCGCCCACGTTTTATGCGGGCGGTCTCGATTAGTTAACGCGAAATCTCGTCTCATCATTCGCATGCAAATCGTGGTTGGTCCATGGCTGTATAAAGCAGGCTTCGTTTTTTGCTGTTTCAGACGGGAGGGCTTTCAGCTCGTGAGAAGGTTGGACGTGCGACACCGGGTTTCTTTGTGCCTACCTGCTATCATCAGTTGAATTGTTGCGTTACACACCACAATATTCCATATGAATATAGACAGTTCTTCAGAGGTTTTTTGTTTCTATTTGTTTGATCTTGTTTGATTTGTTTTTTCATTAGGCTCTTTTGACAATCTTTGTCTGGATGATGAGTGTTCCTTTATTTGAGATGGGATAGAATTTTGTTCATCTATGTCCATTTCTCTTGGTTCTTTAATGATGTACTAGGTTGTGTTATTTCTTGTATGAACCTTTTGATTCTCTTGTGAATGTTTGGCAGATTCTGTTTCTTGAAGGATTTTTGTACTTTGGATGGGGGTTTTTGGAGTTATTTGTTTTGCACTTATAGATTTTTTTTGTTTGAAATTGACTGGATAGGATTTGTTTTGACCATGGGATATATACTAAATTTTCTATTAGATTTTTTTTGTTTGAAATTGACTGGATAGGATTTGTTTTGACCATGGGATATATACTAAATTTTCTATTAGACTTTTAAATCATTTATTAGAGTTGTAAGGTTGTGGTTTCTTATTGCATTGTTCTCTTGGATGTCATTTTGGTGATTTGTTATTTTAGTAATATTTGCATAGGATATTGGAAGTGAATTAGTTTCAACCTGTTTTCTGGTTTCTTGGAATGAGATGTTTTGCATGTATTTTATTCTTATTATTTGCTTTTCCTTTTTCCAGATGCTACACTCTTTAGAATCTGCTGAGTGATTTTATTTGCAGTTTGGACATAAAAGACACCTTTCACAGGGTAACTCTTCATGATCAGACTCCAATTCCCCACATCTTTGACAGACTGATATTCTAGTATATCGAGTTTGTAGATGGCCAAATTTTCTGACATTTGTGACATCTACGGGGAATGGAATGTATGGCTCTGCCTTGGTTATTGTGTATGCTATCTTTATTTCTTTCAGTAGAGTAGATACGTTGAATTTCAAAATATATGTGTTTGTGTTTATTCATATGCCAATTCCTTTTATTTGTATTCATTTGACGTCTGTTATGCCTTGTTTTTTTTAGGGTGTCATCATTTTTAATTTCTTATAGTGAACAGAGTAACAGTTCTGGCATTTTATTAATCCCTTAGAGGGTCAAGAAATTGGTCAAGGTAAGCCTTTACTTTCATATTATGCAATTGGTTTTTAGTGTTTTCTGCATCTTTTTTGGTTTTTATTTGAATTAAAACTGTATTATTTTTCCTTAATTTTTTTTACTGATTTTGGTTCTATCATGGCTGATATAACCTTTTGTAACTCAAAAAAGGTGACACTTTTGTTATTTCACCACCTAATGATTCTATGACTATGAAAATTGGAAATTGTTTTTTTTCTTTTCTGTTTTGAAACTTTCATATTGTCTCTAGGTTTATTTATAAGAGTTAGCCATATAGTTTTGTTTTCAGATTTGCCATCTGTGCTTCCAACCCACCTCGGAGTTCCTTCTTAAGAGACACTATCAGGGGGGGACTAATCCCATTTGCATTGATCTGCTAGGGCTATACGGATGGTATAGTTGTGCTGAAAGTGTATGTGAGCATTCCCCCACCATATCTACCCAAGTATAGTATGGTGGTAGAATTCGCAGTTTTGTTGCAGCCATTGACTTTCATCCTAACTAGTGTTTGCCACTATGTAACTAGCTGATTGGATTGGATTGGGATATTTCATCCACCTATCTATCCCAAGTAGGGACTGAAGTGATGTATGGCAGAAACTCCTGGTCATTTCATACTGGATTTGGAGTCACTCAGTCACCAGGACACCATACCTGGGCATCACGGGTCGACACCCACAGCAAACAAGTCACCCCATTGAAGGGAATTTGTAGTTTTTGGGAATTGGTTTTCATTAAATGTGCATTTTATATATTGTAATTTTATAGGTATTTTGTATGAACAGGTAATTTAGGCATAGTGCTTTGTGTAAATAGTTTATGGATTATGATTTTTGATTAGTTGTTTAAATGTGTCTCTTTAATTTCGATAAATTATTTGTATGGAGAAACTATATTATTTTCCTAAAGGCAACATCCTAGCACTAAATGGATAAGTTGTAGGAAAGTTTTCCTCATATGAACAATTAGATTCTAATTCATTTTATTTCCTATACTATGCCTGGTAGTATTTTAATGTCCTATCCAAGATGTGGGTGAAATTGTTTTGTGAAAAAACACCAGTTGCAGTTTTGCTAATTTCCTTGGGAGCATAAGTAATTTCTTTTACAAAGATGTATTGCTGGTAATTTTTTTTTTTTTTCAAATGTAATGCTGGTAACTTTTTAATCACAAAAATATATTTCTGACACCTTCAATACGAAATTGTATTTCTACTCTTTCACAGTGTTTTGACCCCAGATTATGGGTAAACTATTTTTCCGTAGCTGGAACCCTGACAGGTTCAACCACCCCATGTAAGGGTGGACCTGGGGACAACAGCAATTAAGAGGTGGTCCCACACTCCTCAAAACCTCCTGATGAGAGTCCTTGCTGTTGGATGTAGTTTATTGTCATACCCATGACAGGCTACAGTAGAGGGAACAAAAACTTGGAATTATCAATGGGATCTAACTAAAACTGAGATATCCAAAGGCATGGCACATAAAATTAGAACAACCTACCCCATAGACTAAATAAAAGGTTTGGTTTGAAATTCCAACAAATATACTC